TAAAATCTCTAATGGACACGTACCCAAACCACTTCAGTCTCTTTTCTAAAATCTGCTAATGGACACGTACCCAAACCACTTCAGTCTCTTTTCTAAAATCTACCAATGGACACGTACCCAAACCACTTCAGTCTCTTTTCTAAAATCTGCTAATGGACACGTACCCAAACCTAACTTCAGTCTCAAATTTTCTAAAATCTATCAATGGACACGTACCCAAACCACTTCAGTCTCTTTTCTAAAATCTGCTAATGGACACGTACCCAAACCACTTCAGTCTCTTTTCTAAAATCTACCAATGGACACGTACCCAAACCACTTCAGTCTCTTTTTAAAATCTACCAATGGACACGTACCCAAACCACTTCAGTCTATTTTTCTAAAATCTGCTAATGGATACGTACCCAAACCACTTCAGTCTATTTTCTAAAATCTGCTAATGGATACGTACCCAAACCACTTCAGTCTAAAATTTTCTAAAATCTGCTAATGGACACGTACCCAAACCACTTCAGTCTATTTTCTAAAATCTCTTTTTAATGGACACGTACCCAAACCACTTCAGTCTCTTTTCTAAAATCTGCTAATGGACACGTACCCAAACCACTTCAGTATATTTTCTAAAATCTGCTAATGGACACGTACCCAAACCACTTCAGTCTAAAATTTTCTAAAAATCTGCTAATGGATACGTACCCAAACCACTTCAGTCTATTTTCTAAAAATCTGCTAATGGACACGTACCCAAACCACTTCTTTTTATTTTTCTAAAATCTGCTAATGGACACGTACCCAAACCACTTCAGTCTATTTTCTAAAATCTGCTAATGGATACGTACCCAAACCACTTCAGTCTATTTTCTAAAATCTGCTAATGGACACGTACCCAAACCACTTCAGTCTATTTTCTAAAAATCTGCTAATGGATACGTACCCAAACCACTTCAGTCTCTTTTCTAAAATCTGCTAATGGACCCACCCAAAACCGTAAAACTAATGGACTCAAGCCACTTCAGTCTATTTTCTAAAATCTGCTAATGGGTACCCAACCACTTCAGTATCTTTGGACACGTACCCAAAATCAGTCTCTAATGGATGGACGTACCCAAACCACTTCAGTCTATTTTCTAAAATCTGCTAATGGACACGTACCCAAGCCACTTCAGTCTCTTTTCTAAAATCTGCTAATGGACACGTACCCAAACCACTTCAGTCTATTTTTCTAAAATCTGCTAATGGATACGTACTCAAACCACTTCAGTCTATTTTTCTAAAATCTGCTAATGGACACGTACCCAAACCACTTCAGTCTCTTTTTAAAATCTGCTAATGGACACATTATTCAAGCCACTTCAGTCTCTTTTCTAATGGACTTCGTAAAACCCAAACCACTTCAGTCAGTCTATTTTCTAAAATCTGCTAATGGACACGTACCCAAACCACTTCAGTCTCTTTTCTAAAATCTGCTAATGGACACGTATTTCCAAACCACTTCAGTCAGTCTTTTCTAAAATCTGCTAATGGACACGTACTAAAACCACTTCAGTCTATTTTCTAAAAATCTGCTAATGGACACGTACCCAAACCACTTCAGTCTATTTTCTAAAATCTGCTAATGGACACGTACCCAAACCAAGTCTATTTTCTAAACCACTATCCAAAACCACTTCAGTCTATTTTCTAAAATCTGCTAATGGATTCGTCTATTTTCTAAAACCCAACCACTTCAGTCTCTTTTCTAAAATCTGCTAATGGACACGTACCCAAATCCACTTCAGTCTATTTTCTAAAATCTGCTAATGGACACGTTCCCAAACCACTTCAGTCTCTTTTTTAAAATCTGCTAATGGACACGTACCCAAACCACTTCAGTCTCTTTTCTAAAATCTGCTAATGGACACGTACCCAAACCACTTCAGTATTTTCTAAAATCTGCTAATGGACCCGTACCCAAGCCACTTCAGTCTATTTTCTAAAATCTGCCAATGGACACGTACCCAAACCACTTCAGTCTCTTTTCTAAAATCTGCTAATGGATACGTACCCAAACCACTTCAGTCTCTTTTCTAAAATCTGCTAATGGACACGTACCCAAGCCACTTCAGTCTATTTTCTAAAATCTGCTAATGGATACGTACTCAAACCACTTCAGTATATTTTCTAAAATCTGATAATGGACACGTATCCAAACCACTTCTGTCTCTTTTCTAAAATCTGCTAATGGATACGTACCCAAACCACTTCAGTCTCTTTTCTAAAATCTGCTAATGGACACGTACCCAAACCACTTCAGTCTCTTTTCTAAAATCTGCTAATGGACTCGTACCCAAGCCACTTCAGTCTATTTTCTAAAATCTATCAATGGACACGTACCCAAACCACTTCAGTCTCTTTTCTAAAATCTGCTAATGGATACGTACCCAAACCCAAACCACTTCAGTCTCTTTTTCTAAAATCTGCTAATGGACACGTACCCAAACCCTTCAGTCTCTTTTCTAAAATCTGCTAATGGACTCGTGCCCCAAACCACTTCAGTCTATTTTCTAAAATCTGCTAATGGACACGTACCCAAACCACTTCAGTCTATTTTCTAAAATCTGCTAATGGACTCGTACCCAAGCCACTTCAGTCTATTTTCTAAAATCTGCTAATGGATACGTACCCAAACCACTTCAGTCTCTTTTCTAAAATCTGCTAATGGACACGTACCCAAGCCACTTCAGTCTATTTTCTAAAATCTGCTAATGGATACGTACTCAAACCACTTCAGTATATTTTCTAAAATCTGCTAATAGACACGTATCCAAGCCACTTCAGTCTATTTTCTAAAATCTATCAATGGACACGTACCCAAACCACTTCAGTCTATTTTCTAAAATCTACCAATGGACACATATCCAAGCCACTGACTGCCTTACTGATCATGTGATATGTGTTGAATAATTGATTTTTTTAATTTGAATTGCTCATACAGAAGACAATTCTAGAAAAAATATTTAAGTTGCCTCTCCTTCTATAATCCCAAGAAATCACATCCCCGAAGATCATTGGCTACCTTAACCTGGCCGGCAATCGATTTTCAATGTCTGTCTGATCATGCAGAGCAGGGGACATTTTGAGGTAACATATAAAGTGTGGGGGAGAGGAGAATTAGAATTTGGTCTTTCTACAATCTAGAAATGGGCACATTTTTTATTTTATTTTATCTAATGTAAAAGTCAATAGCCACTCAAGAGAAAGATGATTAAGGAAAGGAGGAAAAGAAAAAAAGAAAGAAGAAAAAAGAAAGAAGATTGCATATATATATATATATATATATATATATATATATATATATATATATATATCAAATTATATATAAATATATAACTTGGACCGATTTTAAATGTGAATTAAGTTTAAGCGTCTAATGATTTTTTTTTCTTTTTCAGATTTAACAACTTAAGTCTTTGGCAATTTCAACCATGGAAAGATTAACAATAAAACAACGTGTTAAAGTTCCAAGAGTGCAGTTGGAAAACATGTTCGTAAATTCAAACAAACCGGGTCGGTGGCAGATGTGAAAACTAAAACATCATTGCGTACTCGTTTACCTTGTTCAGCTGAAAACATTGCTGCAGTGCACGAGAATGTGGCCGAAAATCCAGACCCCTCTATTCGTCATCGCACACAGGAACTGAATCTCTCCACAACAACGTCACATCGTTTCCAATTGCACTCTCGGTTGGTCGATTATGTTGACCCCCAAAATTGCGAAATGTGTTTGAACGTCCATTTTCGTAATTAGCATAGATAACTTCAACATGTTGTTTGTTAATCTTTCCATGGTGAAAAATTGCCAAAGACCTAAGTTGTTAAATCTGAAAGAAAAAGAAAGAAAATCATAAGACGCTCAAACTTAATTCACATATTAACATCGGTCTAAGTTATTGGAACACCCTTATTTTTTATATATATTTATTTTATATATATATATATATATATATATATATATATATATTCAAATGTTATTTTAGTGCATGACGATTGCATTTAAACCTGAAAGTGACTGTTTCCAATTGGTTTGACTTCAATGATAACTTTTATATTTACATACGCTCTATCCCTATCCCTTATATTAAGCACTTTAACATATTTATCTCTCTACACACACACACACACACACACACACACACACACACACACACACACACACATGTTTTAAATTTAAATTTAATTTCTAACGTCTCCTATTTGTGCGCATGCGTAGTTGCATCAACGCAACCATAAAACTTAGTCCAATGAAATTTTAAAACATGAAACGCGTCACACGAAAAGTTTTCCACTTTGTCATACTTCTCTCCCCTAAAATTGTTCCTGACATATATAAAAAACATATATATCATTATCCCATATATATATATATATATATATATATATATATATATATATGGAAGAGGAGAAAAAGACAGAGAGAGATTGAGAGGGAAGGATGGATGGAAGGGGTGAGTGAGAGAGAATGTGGGGTAGTGAGAAGGAGAGAAAGAGGGAGCTAATCCAAAGCATTCCATGAAAACGTCCTTGGAGGAATTAGGCGTAAATATAAACAATCGCTCGGTCGGTAGGAAGGATTTCCTAAATAAAAAGTCTATAATTACTTAGTTAATTGACACCATCCGTTAATTACGTTGGGGATCCTTGCACCCTTCTGGGACTGCCAATCAAATACTTTAGTTGCACAGTCATTTGGATGATAAGTTAATCCTTATTTTGTTTCTATCACACCTCGTTTTCTCATTCTTCCTTTCTTTCTTTGACTTTTCTTTCTTTTTTTCTGATACATCTGTCTTTGTCTGTCTTTGTTTCTTCTTTTTCTCTTCGCTCTCTTGGACTTCGTTCTCATTTTAGGGTTCCGGTTTTGTTAATAGGCTGATTTCTTTCTTTCATTTTTCTTTCTTTTATTTTCTTTTTCTATTTATTATTATATTTATTCTTTTCACCACTTTTTCATTTGTTGTATCATGGTCTCTTTCTTTTCGTTCCCTTTCTTTCTTTTCATTCATTCATTTTATAATTTGATTTTTGTCATTCGATCCTTGATCTATTCTTTCTTAATTCTCTTTCTTTTTTCTTTTTTTTTTCTTTCTGTTTCTTTCTTAATTCTATTTCTTTCCTTCTTAATTCTCTTTCTTTCACAAATCTATTTCTTTCTTTCTTCAATCTTTTTCTTTCTTTCTGTCTTAATTCCCTTTCTTTCTTTCTTTCTTTCTTTCTTTCTTTCTTTCTTTCTTTCTTTCTTTCTTTCTTAGTTCTGTTTCTTTCTTTCTTTCTTTTCTTTAATTTTGTTTTCTTTTTAATTTAATTTTCTTTCTTTCACATATATGTTTCTTTTTTCTTAGTTCTTTCTTTCTTTCTTAATTTCCTTTCTTTCTTTCTTAATTATCTTTCTTTTCTTTCTTTCTTTCTTTCTTAGTTCTGTTTCTTTCTTTTCTTTCTTTCTTTCTTTCTTTCTTTCTTTCTTTCTTTTCTTTCTTAGTTTCTTTCTTTCTTTCTTAATTCTGTTTCTTTTTTTCTTAATTTCTTAATTTTCACATATCTTTCTTTCTTTCTTAAATCTTTCTTTCCTTCTTAATTTCTTTCTTTCTTTTTCTTTGTTTCTTTCTTTTCTTTCTTTCTTTCTTTCTTTCTTTCTTTCTTTCTTTCTTCTTTGTTTCTTTCTTTCTTAATTCTGTTTCTTTTTTCTTAATTTCTCTTTTCTTTTTCTTAATTCTGTTTCTTTTTTTTAATTTTCTTTCTTTCTTTCTTTCTTTCTTTTCTTAAATCTTTCTTTCTTTCTTTCTTTCTTTCTTAATTTTCTTTCTTTCTTTCTTAATTCTGTTTTCTTTCTTTCTTTCTTTCTTTCTTTCTTTCTTTCTTTCTTAATTATGTTTCTTTCCTTCTTAATTCTCTTTCTTTCACATATCTGTTTCTTTCTTTCTTAAATCTTTCTTTCTTTCTTTCTTTCTTTCTTAATTATCTTTCTTTCTTTCTTTCTTTCTTTCTTTCTTAGTTCTGTTTCTTTCTTTCTTTCTTTCTTTCTTAATTCTGTTTCTTTCTTTCTTTCTTTCTTTCTTTCTTTCTTTCTTAGTTCTGTTTCTTTCTTTCTTTCTTTCTTTCTTAATTCTGTTTCTTTCTTTCTTTCTTTCTTTCTTTCTTTCTTTTTTTCTTTCTTTCTTTCTTAATTATGTTTCTTTCTTTCTTAATTCTCTTTCTTTCACATATCTGTTTCTTTCTTTCTTAAATCTTTTTCTTTCTTTCTTTCTTTCTTTCTTTCTTTCTTTCTTTCTTTTATTTTATTATCTTTTTTTTTTCGTCATTCTTTGCTTTTTCATTCGGTGTGTTTTATTCCCCCGGAGGTTTTCTCTTCCCCATGGGTCACTTCATCAACCCCGTTGTTTTTCCACTCTCTTCTTTTCAGTCTAAACATAACGAATGACAGATTTTCATATAAAACCCTCTGAACAAAAACAACAATGGCGGAAAAGAGGAAATGAAAATAAAACTCGCTGACACGTTCAGTAAATGATTAAAAAAAAAGAAGTTAAATTCATTGAATGACATTAACAAGGAAAAGTTGCCCCCCCCCTCTCGCCCATGGGCACCAGCCTAACATCGTAAGTAAGATTATAGTGAATCAATTGCTAAGTCTGCTGTCAGGAAAGTCGTTTCACTGTGCCGTGCCAGACAATTTTTCTTTCCAGAATCTTATCTTACATATCTATAAGTCAACCTTATAGTCCTTGCTTTGAATATTGCTGCCACATCTGGTCTGCTGCCCCTGTTATATATTTAGAGATTCTTGATAAAATCCAAAGAATAATCTACAATATTATTGGCTCTGACCTGGCATCTCACCTTCAGCCGCTTCTGGAGTTTTCTTTGTGCGACGGTCTCAATTAATTGCACTGTTGTTTATATCTCTGTCTCGTCTTCTCCCGGTTGGGTGCTGAAATATTTTTCTTTCGGAATTAAAAGAGAACTTCAATAAAGGACTTTTAACTTAACTATTATTTTATTAACTTTGTCGACGGGTACATCTAACTAGCTAATGGGATTGCTATCTCGCCCCAACTGGGGAGCAAGTTCTCAGGAAGGATTTTAACTCGTCTACAATCTTCTACGTGTAAATCTTAACTCGCCGAAACCTCTTTCAATATTTCTCATTCTCACGTTAGCTTTAGCCAATCAAAAACGACTTCCTTTGTTTTCCTGTGTATGTCCTTAAAGATCAAAATGAGGAAGTCAGCGGAGATATACAATTCTCTAAAAAATAAAAGTATGCTAGACTATTATTTAACAACTTTCTCACCGCCTTAATGTGGCTTTCCTGTGACTTTTCTATAAATATTTTCATGGAAATTATTCTGATGAACTATCCGCTGCGGTAACTGAACTTTATGAATTTAAGCGCAGTACTAGATTGGCAATAAGGTTTCATCAATTTACAGTTGAAACTGCTAGATGTAACCGTAAGTTCTATGCTAACAGTTTCTTCTCACACTTATCGCTTGTGAAATTCTCCTTTGGCTTCATAATTTTCATCCAACTTTGATTTTTAGAAATTTAAATGCAATGGCAGTCATTATCCACTGTCTTTTAGATTCCTCTTCTTTTATTGCTATCGATCCTTAATAATGTCTCTCGTTTTTCTTATTCTTTTACACTCAGTAACCCGTTGTGTCTTAGTGGCTTTACTGCCTTGCTTGGAGCGAATTGCTTTAAAAATAAATAAATAAAAATTATTATTTTTTATTTAGTCAGTTGAGCTAGCTCGGACATTAATGGTTGTATCACGCCAAACATCACGGCCCTTCATCCAGGTCGGAAGGTCATTAGGGTCACATTCTGTGTCGTAACATAGTTGGTCAATGTAGGTGTTTGCTGGGCGATCACCTCGTATTCCATCATACACTAGTTCTTGTTTTGGTCGCCAGCAATGTCCTGCAACGCGCCTTTTGCGTTCGCGTAAGATTGTAGAAATATCAGGGATGGGTCCATAGAGCTGTGGTTTATTTGGATGTTGTCTCCAAGAGATGTTGAGTATAGCTTTCAGCATCCGTGCGTAGGTTCCATCAATCTTGGAGCCAAGCAGTGGCACCATGCATTAACAACGTCTCTACAGTGGCTCAAAAGAATCTCCGTTTGAGGTTGTCTGGTAGATCAAATTTCCAGATTACATCCATTTTATTCAAGGCAGCCCAGTCTTTAGTTATGTGAATTTTCACATCGAATTTTTTATAGAATTTATTTTGCTTCTGAGGTATGTAAAAGATTCAAAAGAATTTATTGATTCTCCTGAGATAGTTTGTATTGAGACTCGCTAGTTGAAGCTTATGAATTAGGTTTTAGAGGTATTGAGTCCAATATTGTTAGTAGCATTTTAGTCCAGGCAGTGGTACCACACATTAACGTTCGAAAGAAACAGTGATCTAAACTATTCTAGCGAGGCTGTGACTGTTTGTAGCTCCTGTCGAAATCTCTGCCTTGGGCAGAGAGGTACCCGGACGAGGCTGTGCCGAATGGCAGACTTGTGCGGGGAGGTAGACAGACCCAAACCAGTTTATGCGGGTTCTACGGGGATTTTTTGGCCGTGGATACGGGCTCGGATGACCCACGTTAAACTCGGCCTTGTGCCACATATATCCATCGTAGTGGGGGTGCTGTTAAATACCAACATTTGAAAGAATCTCCGCTTGAGGTTGTCTGATAGATCGGATTTCTAGATTACATCAATTTTATTCAAGGTTGCCTCAGGCTTTAGCTATGCAGATTTCCACACTCTTTACCGTAGAATTTATTTCGCTTCTTAGGTATGTAAAAGATTCGACAGATTTTATGGATTCGCCTGAGACAATTTGCATCAAGCCTTGTTGGTTGAAGCTTATGAATTCAGTTTTCCGCGTCTTTCGTTTTGTAGACTTTGCTAAATCCTTCGATTCTGTTTATCAGGGACAAAATGGAGAAGATCCTTCCAGGATACGGCACATCTTCTAAGATGGTAGCTGCCATAATGATGCTATACAGAAATACCAAATGTTTGGTTAGATCTCCATACGGAGATACTTATTCATTTCTTGTGAATTTAGCTGGGATGTACATTGTACATTCAACCTAGACAGCCATCAAACTTAATGCCAAGTGCCCCGATACATATTGACCTTAGCTTTCTTGCATTGCCTAAGAGGAGAAACCTTAGAAGTAGAATCATTTCACTATTATATAGCAGTAGACAGCTTAGTAATCTATCAATTGATATATATTGCTTCATAATTGTAGAGGTAGTTTTAATATATGGACACTGGACATTAACTAAAATCCTTGAGCTTAAGCTTAAATAAAACTTAGATAATATTTATTTTAAATCCACGGAAAATAAAGTCATCAAAGCAGCGGGTCCTTTAGGTTGACTCCCTTGTACTTTTTCTCTTGATCATCATCCTTTAGTATATACTAGCAGCATGACCCGGCGTTGCCCGTGCTTGATTCAAAAATCGAACGACTCATACAGCAATCGCTATCACTTGACTTAAAATATTTTTTCCCTTCCTTGCCTTTAAAGGAGTGCCCTTTGCCGTGCTGATGTTGTTACATGCCTTACTTCTTGCCTATCTCACACTGCGATTTTTTTCTAAGCTCTATACTAAACATTAAATCTGTTACGAAAAAAGAACTAAACAAAATGAACACATAACGATAAGCTTTAAAAAAGGACTCGTAACTGGAAAAACCGAATGAAAAAAGAATGTTAACAACAAATACTTTTTCACACCGAACCCAGTTCTGCGGAATCAGAATCAACGATGAGTTTAAGCAAACGAATGAGCCAATTGGAGTAAAGTGCCATGCAGATTTAAATTTTTCCCAATTGTGACGAATGCAGCTATCGACTTTTTTTTTTGAATGCTAGCATGCTAGTTCATATTCGCGTCAGTCAGCTGTTGGCTCTCACGCTGGCCAATAGAATCTTAGTCTGTTCGTGGCAGCCAGCTATAGGTTCTCACTCTGGCCAGTAGAAAATGGCCTCAAACTACACGAAAACTGCCATAGAAGCATGAAAAAATTGATTATTTCCACTATCGATGGGAGTTGGGAAATGCAGTGTCGGTGTTGGCCTTCCCGTTAACTTGGAGCACGTGCATGTAAATTTTGGTGCAAATATGTCGAAAATTGCGGCCGTGCATTCGACACACACACACACACACACACACACACACACACACACACACACACACACATATCCTGCCTTTTATAGATAGAGATTCAGAACTTCACTTGATAAACATCATCATCTAGGTTTTACTTTATCACCAAGACACTCAAGTCGATATCCTGTAAAAAAAATGCTGACAGATATTGATTATGCAAATCAGTGGCGTAATGCCCCCCCACCCCTGGACACCGGCAAATTTCCAGTTGGGCCCCAAAGTAATGGGCCTTCACTTTACAAATAACCGAGAAAAGTGAAAACTAAAAAAGGAAAAAAAATACTTAGATGATGGGAAGATTTAAAGACTTTTTTGGAAAAAAAAAAAATTACCAGCAATAAAAATTAAATAACCCGTTGAGGCTGATATACCGTAAAACAAACCAATCTAATTAATTTCATATTTTTATTTATTCGGTCAAGGTGACTCGGACAGTCATGAGTCTATTACGTCAACCAGAGTCTAGCTGGGCAATATAGGTAGTTGCTGGGTTGACCAAGTTTAGATCTCCGGACATCAAAGCAGGGGTCCTCCAGGGTGACATACTTGCACCTTTTTTCTTTGTTATCACTCTTGACTACGTATTGAGAATTTCACTTGATAAACATCATCATCTAGGTTTTAATTTACCACCAAGACTTCTTTTAACAACATGATCCCTTTTAATTCTTTTAACATCATGATCCCCTTTAATTCTCTTAATAACATGATCCCCTTTAATTCTTTTGACATGATCCCTTTTAATTCTTTTTATAACATGATCCCCTTTAAATCTTTTAATAACATGATCCCCTTAATTCTTTTAACAACATGATCCCCTTTAATTCTTTTGACAATATGATCCCCTTTAATTCTTTAAACATGATCCCCTTAATTCTTTTAACAACATGATCCCCTTTAATCTTTTTGACAATATGATCCCCTTTAATTCTTTTAACATGATCCCTTTAATTCTTTTAACAACATGATCCCCTTTAATTCTTTTGACAATATGATCCCCTTTAATTCTTTTAACATGATCCCCTTAATTCTTTTAACAACATGATCCCCTTTAATTCTTTTGACAATATGATCCCCTTTAATTCTTTTAACATGATCCCCTTTAATTCTTTTAACAACATGATCCCCTTTAATTCTTTTAATAACATGATCCCCTTTAATTCTTTTAACAACATGATCCCCTTTAATTCTTTTGACAATATTATCCCCTTTAATTCT